CCGTAAAAGTAACTGTACTTCTTTGGTCAAATTTCTCCGCTCAGATCTCGAGGGCTTCTTCCCCTTTTGTACCATGCTGATTACGGATTGGAGATCTGTATCATCTGACTGCAACTTGATGGAAACACCTTGATCCAGTGGAGTTACATTGATTTGTGCTAGTAACACATTCTCCTGTGCTCTTGCCTCTGTAGCCAACACTGTCTGATTCATAGGGTCAGGGTCTTTCATGGCCGCTAGCGCCGAATCAATCATATCCTGGGAGCATTCTTTGGTACACTGTTGAGTATACTGTTCAACATCTAACGGCATGCGGCTCAAGCCATCTGCATCACTGTTCTGGCGTCCAGGCTTATAATGGACCTTGAAGTTGAAATCGGCAAGCAGTGACACCCATCTGAGACGTGTTGCATCCAATTTCGGTGCTGTGAAAATATACTGTAGTGGGTTGTAATCACTGTAAACATCAAAGTAGGGTGCATAATAAAGGTAATCTCGGAAGCGCTCAGTTACACTCCACTTCAAAGCTAAAAACTCTAGCTTGCCCGAATGCATATAATAGTTCTTTTCTGCAGGCGTTAAAGTCCTTGACCCATATGCGATCACTCCTAACTTTCCTGTTGACTGGTGTTGATACAAAATGGCACCAAGTCCATTCTGACATGCATCAATATGTAAAACATAAGGTTCATCAAATTTGGGATATGCCAATATAGGAGGGGAAACAAGCAGATCAATAAGCTCCTCTAGTATTTTCTCATGCTCAGTAGTCCATAAAACAGAAGTATTAGAGCTTTTCTGGCCCTCCTTTTTGTTTGACTTCCTTTTCCGTTTCTCTTTTGTTCCTGGCTCCTCTTTCAACAGATCATAAATTGGTTTGGCCCTTCTAGAAAATTCAGGAATATATCCTCTGTAAAAACCAATGAATCCCATGAGCTGTCTGACTTCACCCACCGTCTTTGGTTTCTTCTCTCGTAGTTTATTGACAGCTGTTGTATCAGCGGGGTCAATAGTGTGGCCCTTTGTCGTGATCAAGTGTCCAAGATAACGCACACTTTTCTGGAATAGGTGACACTTGCTTGGTTTTAATTTAAGTCCTTTATCCCTTAGTCTTTGAAACACAGACTTCAGATGTTTTAAATGTTCATCAAAACTCTTGCTGTAAACCAAAACATCGTCCAGGTAGGGTAGACAAAAGTTATCTCGAAGACCTTCAAGTGTCTCATTCATGTACGCCTGGTAGACTCCTGGGGCTCCAGTCAAACCAAACGGAATTCGGTTCCATTCAAACTGACCCCAAGGTGTTGAAAAGGCTGTGTACTTTCGACAATCCTCCTTGATGAATCCCTGATGGTAAGCCTTGCTCTGGTCCAGTAGGGAAAACCACTTGCTATCCCCCAAAGAATCCAAGGCATCTTGAACCCGAGGTATTGGATGCTGGTTTTGGATAGTCTTTGCGTTCAGTCGACGATAGTCTACGCACAGACGGAGAGTCCCATCCTTTTTGCGCACACAAACTACTGGACTAGTATACTGTGATGTTGACTTACGTATCCACTGTTTATTCAACAGGTTGTTGACGTAGTCCTTGACCTCCTGTAGAAGTGGTTTTGGGACAGCCATATATGAGCTATGAACAGGAACTTGGTCTTTCAGATCGATCGGCATCTGTAGTCCAACGGCACAACCAATGTCATTGTCATCTCGTGTAAATGTGTCACATTCACTTCTTAGAAGTTTCCTCACCTCTGTAATTTCCTCTTTTGAAAGGACAGTCGAATCCAATTCCACCGGTGGATCCCAAACATCAGCTTTTTCCCTTTGGATGTCATTCTTCTGTTCCACTACAACACAGTCTTTATTCTCCGTGTTTCCCACAAGTAGTACTGCAGCTACTCTGTGAAGGCTACCAAGCAGTTTTCCTCTTGGTAGAACATGATCCTGATTGCCCTTGTTGGTTACTACCAGTTTCACACTGCATTTGGGACCAGTCCTGACTACTGTCTCTTCTAACACAATGTCATCACTATCCATCTCACTTGGCTGAAACACCGCTGTTGTATCTTGAAGATAGTGTTTACCCTTCAGGAATGCCGAGATTGTGACTGAGGTTTTCTTCGGAATCTTGACGTTCTGTCGACCAACCTTAACCTGACAAATAAAGTCCGATTCGTCCTTCATGTGAACAATTTCTCTGATAAGCTTGTTAAGTCTTGGTTGCAGTTCATTGTCATGTAAACAATTTCTAAACACTTTCTTCATATCACTAACATTTACATCCTGTAACATGCATTGAATTACATTGTAACCCAAAATAGGCTCATTCAGACCAGAGACATTATCATTAGCTACCAAAAAAGGAACTTTAAGAACTTGATCTGACAACGCTACATTCAAGTATAAAATACCTTCTATGGGTATCCTGTTGCCTGATGCTGATGACAAAGAAAAATTTGCATCTAACACATTTGTAACATTTTCAATCTGAGACAAAAATGATGGTAAAAATCTCTTTACATAATTGAGGTGAACAAGAGAAACCTGGGCACCAGTGTCCCATAATGCTTCACAACAATGATCCTCAATTTCACACTTTACCAGGCAAGGTTTACTAACAATATTTACAAAACCTGGGCTAACATCAAAAACTGAGCCCTTAATTTCATTTACATGTACTTCCACATTCTGACCATACTTTCTTGACATGTATTTGATAGAATTACAAATCAATTTATGCTGTGCCCAGTGATCTTTCTGACATGATTTGGAACAATAATACGAACAAGAACATGCACTACAACATTTTGCAACATTAGCATCAATATGTACATTACAGTTCATACACTTGGGACTATCTGTTGAGGTTTGGGGCCCGCGAAGTCCCTCTAACGAGACCCTTGGTCGTTTTCCGAGCTTGATCTTCCTCGGCCAGTTGGCGGTCTTGACTGTTTGGGACAGTTGCGCTGTAAGTGTCCATCAGACCCACACGACCAGCAATGGTAGCACCTTTTGTTTTGTTCACGACATCTACGGCATCCTCTTGTTCCACCAGTGTTGCGTCGTTCAGTTTCAGACTGGGTCACCTTCTGTTGGCGAGTTTCATCCTTGAGTTGAGCTACCTCCACCTTGAGTGCCTTGATTTCATCTAGGAGTTCCCTTGTTGCACAAGTGTCATCACTCTTCATCGCCGCTACAACTGTCTTGCCGACTTTTTGTTTATTTTCATTTTCACGACGAACGATTTTGTTTAGTTCATCCAATAACTCTGCATCAGTCTTGGTCTGGTCAGACAAAATGGACTTCATTTCTTGTCTAAGAATCTGGTCCCGAAAACCAGTTTGTACTGTCCTAGCGAAAAGTTTATGAACTAAATCTGGACTGTATTTGAGTTCGTCACTGTTTTCCAAAGATGCAAAGAGGATTTTGTTCCGTATGTCCATGCTGCGCATTAGAAATTCACTGCTTGTCTCTTTGGTTAATTGAACTGAGCTAGCAAGTTCTGTATAAAGTTCAGTGGAGTTCTTTTCAGCATAGTGGGCTCTGAGTATTCCTCGAAGGGTTGGAAGGGACAAATCCTGTCTGCCGTCCAAGTAGCTTCTCAAACTGGAGGAGGGAATCACTGCACGTATGACCCCATCAATCACATCATCCTCAGTGTGTCCTTTCTTTAGTCCTGCTTCAATCTGACGTATCAAGCTGGTATAGGAAATTCCTGATTTACTATCAATCTGTCCAGATATCTTAAAGTCTTTATGCACTTTCACATTGTTGACACTGGGGATAACTGTTTTGTCACTTACTTTCTCTGTCTTCACAGTGGTAGACTGTTTATCGCTTAAGCACTGCTTGAATGCCAATAGGGTAGTCCCAGCCAGTTCTCCTTCCATCTCCGCAAGGAAAAGCTTGTCCGCGTCCATGACCAGTTTAACTCTGTCAGACGATTTTGGTTGCTGTCCATATAACTCAAGTATTTCCTTCAGAGTCTCCACAGGAGCTGTCATGATCCTGGATCTCGTCCATACCATGTCCTCTGTGAGTGCCATTTCCTCTGTAATCCCGGACGAGCCCCCAAAATGTTATCCCTAAAAATGAACAGAGGAGAGCTGTAGTTGACAACTTTTATTACAGCAGGCACACATATTATTCGAAGCGTTCCCGATTTACCATTCCGGAAAACAACAGTAATCTAAAGGAGTTATCTCCCGTACAACATAAAAAATAATAGGGGTACCTGCAAACAACCTTACTACAATACTGACAATAGCAACTACTCCCAATAAAAACACCGCTGTCAGGGGGAGCTCTCATTTTCAATACTAGTAACAAAAAAAGAATTGAACCTAGGTAAAATTGAATTATACCTACATGTATCTGTAATTCTTTTGTGGATAGTTTCTTTGTACCTATCTTTTATTAAATTGTACCTATTTTTAATTAAAATATACCTACCTTTTATTCAGTTGTATCTATCTTTAATTCAATTGTACCTATCTTAAAAAAAAATTGAAGATAAGTATAATTCAATTAAACCAATTTTCAATTGAATTGAAGATACGTGTAATTCTTTTAAAGATAGGTGTAATTTTTTAACCTAGGTTTAATAATTTAGAGATAAGTTTAATTATTTACACCTGTCTTTAATTCATTTAGACCCATCTGTAATTCAGTTGTACCTATCTTTAATTAATTTGAAGATAGGTTCAATTATTTAAAAATAGGTACAATTATTTGAAGACAAGTACGAATATTTGAATAAATGTTTTAATTTGGCGTTCCATGCATGAGATAGTATAAACTGAGGTCCCGTACCGCAGTAGGTATTGGCATGAAAACGATCTCGCTATTCAATTGCTACGGCATGCGGTGGCGTCTTTATCAGAGTGAAAAATTATCGAGAGAGACCTTAAACAACAAACAACAGAAACGACTTCAAGATAAAGAGCAACCTATTTATTTTTCAAAAAATAAAAATTTCTATAAAAGTCTAGTAATATCTTGGAAGAAAGCATAGAACTTTCAAAAAATTGAGGTAGAGCCATGTATAATTGTGCCCTGTCTAAGGTTGGTAGTTTTTACATTCCGGAACCCTGTAGGGGAGATCACAGTTTTGAATGGCTTTGTTGAAGACTGTGCCTGGGGGGCACTGCTCGTGATATTCAAGGTTTGGTCCACATTGATAAAACATCCCGCAGTCGTCAGGATCGCCGTGTATACCATATCCATGTTTACTGCAGAAGGTGCCAGCTACAAAAGAAAACAAAGATATTTTCAGTTTCCAAGCCGTAAATCTGAATTCTGAATAAGAATCATACGGCAAGAAAGACTTTCCATCTCGAAATGTCTACTTAGAACCTCTTATCAAAATACTTTACATCAATTCGTTAAAAATGAATATTTAGGCTTAAAAAATGATTAATGTATATGTAATTCTTACAATGTATAGGTTTGATATTATGATAGAGGGAAATGAGGTACGAACTGAAACGGATGGCAGCAATAGAAAATTATTTGAAAAATGTTATGTGAATAACATTAATCTTGTTTTGCACCAGTGACACCCCTTGCAATCAATATTTTTTCTTGATATATTAAAATTATGCACAATATGAGAGAAAAAAGGATTTCTACTCCAGGTATAAATTGATACCGAGTTTTCAAACAGTTAGATTTCGGATTTCTTTTCCGTTAAGCTTTTCTATGTGGGTTTCTTGTTTAAAATTAAAGAGAAAATATGACATTCTCTTAATTTCTAAAGGGTGTGATGAGGTAAATTTTAATAAAATATCCTTATGCTATTGTATTAAAGAGAAAACATTTGATTCAGTAAAAAAAATATCAAAAAAATTTATGAAACTGTTTCTAATCCCTCCCAAATTTGAATCTGAGCAACTACGGTATGTTAAGAAAAATATATATGTATAAAATTAATCAGGCTGTCCCATCGCTAATTATATACTAGTATTAATTCATGGAAATAATTTGAAATACTTATTGACGCAAGCAATCATATACATGTACATGTATATCAGGTATGCTAGCTACAAACTATATTAATAAGATCACATTTCATTTTACGTGTTGATACAAATTAAAATGATAAAATCATACCTTGGTTGGGATAAAATGCAGGTACGTGGTTATGAGGATCCTTAGTGGTGCCCTTGGTATGAGTACTCTGTGTGGTGGTGGTGGTTGTAGTTGGAGCCTTGGTTGTAGTTGTTGTACTCTGTGTGGTGGTGGTTGAAGTTGGAGCCTTGGTTGTAGTTGTTGTACTCTGTGTGGTGGTGGTTGTAGTTGGAGCTTTGGTTGTAGTTGTTGTACTCTGTGTGGTGGTGGTTGAAGTTGGAGCCTTGGTTGTAGTTGTTGTACTCTGTGTGGTGGTGGTTGAAGTTGGAGGCTTGGTCGTAGTCGTGGTGGTTGAGGTCGTGGTGGTTGAAGACGGAGCCTTGGATGGAGTCGTTGTACTCTGTGTCGTGGTGGTTGAAGATGGAGCCATGGTTGGAGTCGTTGTACTCTGTTGTGTACTTTGTGGCTTTCTGCTAGATACTTGCTGAGAACTTTGTGGTGTGTTGGTAGAGGAAGATGGAACCTTCATTGTGGTGGTCTTCATCATGTTTTGAGTACTTTGTGGCATGCTGGTAGAAGAAGATGGAGCCATGGTTGTAGTGGTGGTCATTTGTTGTGTACTTTGTGTCGTGCTGGAAGAGGGAGGTTGGGGTTTCATGGTGGATTTCGTCACTTGCTGTTGACCATTGCAATTAACATTGTTTGGCAAATCACAAAATTTGGTAACGTCATTAAATAAAAGACCAGATGCACAAGTAACTTCTAAGCTCTGGGAACCAGCACAAATGAAGTAATTTGAACAAGAATTTGGATCAGCATAGAATCCTGTCGCTTTTCCAGTACAATCAAAACGATTAGTCAAACCAATGTGATGTGTGGTTTGGCTTTGTGCTGAATTAGGCGTGGTTTTCTGGTTAGTTGGTAGGGTAGTTTTTACTGACTGAGTTTTCATGGTGCTTGAAGTAGTTGAAGGTTGCATTGTTGAAGCAGTTGTTACCCTTCAAAGGATAGAAAAAAACTAGGTTCATACATTCAAAGACTGGAAAAAGACACACCATAAAGTTATAAGGAGTCTCTTTTATTGTCATTTTTCCTCATCTTTGCTATATAGGTGTTTCTGATCCGCTTCACTCCTCATAAATCCTGTTTGTGAAAAGTGTAGCCGATCAGAAACATTTGGCTTGCAAAGATGCCTTCAGCTTTAATTTTAAAATAGAATTGTATTGATCGACTTGTCAAATATTCAATTTTCAATTTATAAACAACTGATGCATTCTATATAATTAAGTTTGAAACAGTTGTCATACATTTATTTTAATGGATATTTAAGGACGGACAAAATGACTCGAACACCCCTCCCCGAAAATTGTTTCAAGCTATTGTTTTTCCCATGCACAAAAATGTTTTTCTCTTCTCCGGTGTATATCCGGGTGTGTACATGCTTCAATGCTTACTGTGGGGTTTGTCCGGCCATCAACTCGTCCTTGATAGCATGAAGCAAGGGGTATTTTCCTTCTCCACAACTACCAGTGAAATCGTCTAAGTCAATGGACCAGACCATGGTTCCACCTAATCCTTTGCTCTTCACGAAATCTACCTGTATTAAAAGAGGACAAGTTTATAAGTCATTGAAGGATTTATTTCAATGTACGGTCTGAGCGATAAAAGAAACCCAAATTTAACATGTTGTATGCTTTCTCCAAAACTTTTCTTTCTCACCTTGTGCTTTAAGCTTTCTGGGTCATCGTAGCCGACCCATTGATCTCCCTTGACGACATACGGAATCTCCCATCCGTTAACCCAGTGTCGGGTACCTCCATTCTTTAGCATGTCGCAGATCTTTGATGTAATGTTGAAATGCATTTTAATTGTACTATACCTTTCAATTATTGTAAGAAAAAAATTGCCTTTCATTTGTTAAATTGAAAAGAAAACAAATGGTTTTGGATATATTTACCTCATAATAAGCCAACATCCCAGATTGCTGGGTACATGGTCCAGCCTTTCCACCATTACCTTGGTCGGGAGCAAACACTCCATTATTATTTGCATTAGCAAGTGTGTAAGAATTTCCATACATAGGCATTCCCATGTTTATTTTTTCAGCAGGTGCTCCTTTTTGTATCCAGTAATTTACCGCATATTCCTGTCAGTGAACATATAAAAGAACTTATTTGACCAAATATTTCATGTCCAATTTTTTTTCTTTTTTTACACCATAAAACTGTTTGTTAATTACCCACTTTCCTCTTGTGAGTGACTACAGAGAATAGGATAAACTTACGACATTGAGTGTTCGATCTGTTCCAGTTTCTGATGGAAGGCTTTTCAGTGGAGCGGTATGTCCAGTTTTAGTCTCAAACCCTGCTCCATGGAGGTCGTACGTCATTAGATTTATCCCGTCTACATATCTGTGAAATTAATACAACTACTGTAAAATGACATATTTTCGTGGGGTCAAATTTTCGTTGTTTGAGTAAAAGCTCTTGGTTGGTGAGGATTTGAATTCGTGGATGAAGTATTGTTGAGTAGTTATGCATGTAATAGTGTACTTTTCGTGGTGGACATGAATTCGTGGGTTCCTTCATACCTCGAAAACAACGGAAATTAAACCCCCTAAAAAATTTTTGATTTCACAGTATATGTTTCAAGAAAAAAACCCAATGAATTCCGTGCAGGAAACTGATTTTCATATGCATTGATTTCACCTCATACCCACATGATACAACACCACACATTCATTTTAGAAAATAAAATATCATTTTTAGAGTTACATTGGGATATGACATGAAGTCGGTCACGTGATCAAATTCTACAACGCCCGAAGGGCGTTATAGATTTGATTACGTACCGACTTCATGTCAAACCCAATGTAATTCTAAAAATATTTTATTTCTTATATTTTTATATTTTACATATTTAGTCGTGCTACAAAGAAATATAGGCAGTATTTAGACTTTGCTTTGGAAATGCAACATAACGTATCTACGACGTCATGTGACGTCACAATCGGAACTTTCCAAATAGCTCGTGCAGTTTGCTTTCAATACACAAGAAAGTCTGATCATGTGACCAACTGCATGTCATTGAAAACTGAATTTCAATTTTATTAGCATTGTTATGTAAAGAAAGACATCAGCAAATGTAAATATTTCAAAATAATTACATAAGATATTTACGTCTTAGGAAAACCACGTTCATTTATCAATACCGTAGAACTCTTCAGCTGACCAGAATATTTTTGAGCAGTTGGTCTTCCATCAATGAAGCATACAGTGACATTTATTTCAATAATACAATATTCAGCATACTTAGAACTGTTTAAATGAATTCACAATATTAATAGTATTATCTACATTTAAGTGAGCACGTATGATCTTACTTTGAAATGCCGGGGACGTCATATGCTGTGTCGATTGTACTCTTACTACTAGCTACAGCAACGGTTAACAGGAGACCCTCCGACGCAAAAGTTTCATGGAGAACCTAAGTTGAAAAGGTATGAATTCCTTATGTGCATTATTCAACTGTATACTTCGCAGTGAGTTATGTTTTTCCAAACACATGATTTCCGGTGATATAATCGGGGTTTTTTTTTTAGCAAAGAAGAAACAAATTTTAAAAGAAACATCACTCAAAATTAATCTTTTAAATTTTCATATGGACATTTCTTACATGTTAGTTTGCGTGTATCTTATTTAATAAAACTATTCCAACCTTTAGAAGTTCCGTGAAGTGAGCTTTATCTTGGGGAGGACTCCCTCTGTGGGCAGGGTATTCCCAGTCTATGTCTAGACCGTCAAAACCGTTCTTTTTGAGGTACTGGACAGTTGATGTGGCGAATTCCCTCCTGCTTGCGTCCGTTGCTACCATACTTGTAAAAGGAGCGGATCCCAGTTTCCATCCTCCCACGGCTAACAGAGTCTTTAGAGAAGGATTTTGCTGTTTGAGGTCGTTAATACGCTCATACCTTTTATAGAAGATTTTTTCATTTATTACAGTACTTGGATTGTGTTTAAATAGTCATATTAAATTCACGTAGAATGTGACAAAAGTTTGCTTAAAAGGTTCAGTTTTTGTGTTCTTATTTTGAGTGTGGTAAAATATAAGCAAACTGCTGAAGAGGAAGTATAAGGCTGTATATTCACGAAGTAAATGTGTAAAGAAGGTTTCCTTACATTCCTTTAGCCGTTGCAGTGCTCTCATCATTCCATTCAAACGGTGCCAAGTGATTACCAGTCAGTTTGGCAAATGAAAAAATGATATGGGTACAGAGTGTGGGGTCCACATTTGCTGGAACAAATTTGCATGGTGCATGCCTGTATTGGGACCAGTTTGTATAATAACATACCCGTCGATATCCGTTAGCTAGAATAAGACCAACAAAATTATAAGTCATTGACTTGCTAAAGATATTTGTAATATCACGGCACGAACAGAAGCATAATGTAACTACAAATGCCCTGCAATCTTTGGCAATTACCTCATAAGTTGGGAACGCACTGCATGCTTGAGACAGAAAACAGACAAACCGTATGGAATCACAAGCAATGGATTAAGAATTTTTCTCCATCAGACGAATTCACAACATAGATAAACTGGTGTTAAGCGTTTAAATTTAATGATTTATTTGTATGAAAATGAAATGTCAAAATGATGTCAAAATTTATTCAGATATAGGTTGCTTGTTTGTAGTTCTATTGTTTATTGATACATTCATTTGAATTGTGCATTAAAGGGTTTTTGAAAACAATAAAAAGTTAAGTCCGTTTTATATTTTTCACAGTTGACCGTTAAGTAAGATATTATAGCACTACAGAGTGTTCTGATAAAAAGCCTAACATTTTTATGTATTAAAAGACATTTTAGCCAAAGGTTTTATATAAATAATGTACAAAGGGTGTTTATTTGGTTTACTATCAAATGCAGATTTCTAAATTTTCAGCTTTTGTTAGTTACTATGGATGCATATTTCCACTTCAACCTCCTTTTCTGTGGATATGTTTACAATACGTTGGCTATGTTAACATAATTTTTTTTTCATTTTCTTGTTCCAACTCTCCCTCCTTAGGCTCGAGGAGCCTTACATTTATCTAAAAACAATCAGTAACAGCCAAATTGATAACTTCATGTTTCATATCTATTTTGTGACTCCTATTATACATTTTGTCATAAATTTACTTTATTTAAAGAGTGAATATGATTTTAATATGTTCATAGTAGTAGGACATGCATCTTAAACAATAGTAGTATGCTCTTTATATTCGATGTTTGCATTATAACAGCATGCGGCAAAAATTTAAAGGATTATATATAATATTTCCCTAAATGATAATACATAGGTTCCTCCTAGATTGTCTACCATTAATAAAACAGAAAATATAACTATGATATTTTATTTTTAAGATACAAAAATCAAGCATGATACAAACAGTAAGCTAAAGCAAAACACAACACAAACGAATCACAAGAAAAAAAATCAGGAAAATGTCTCTTCAAATACACAGATCCTTTTCTACAGTTTCTATGGCTGGTAATTTTTGCATTCAGGAACTTTGAATGGGTAGTCACAGGCTATGATGGCTTCATTGAAGACGGTGCCCGGGGGACAAGGCTCGTGGAATCCGAGATTCATGGCACATTGGTAGAACATACCACAGTCTGTTGGGTCTCTGTAATGACCGTCAGCTCGGCTGCTACAGAAGGCGTTAGCATCAACACCTAACAAAACATTGAATGCGTTTAGTAATATAAGGCTTATGTGTAGATGTCTAATCTTCATATTAATCGTGTACTGAAAGTCATTTTAAAAAATGTATCCATCGCTTTTTAAGAACATGTAATAAATACATACCTATGTTTGGAATGCTCTGAGCGTGTGTGGTCGGAGCCGGTGCCCACGTGGTGGTTTTCGTCACGTGCGCTTGCGCATGCGTCGTCTTTGGTGGGTTGGTTGGAACAGGAGCATGTGTTGTTGGATGGGCTTGCTGCTGAACTTTGCAATTTACGTTGTATGACCAATCACAATATTTGGTGGCTTCATTGAACAAAAGTCCAGAAGCACAGGACACCTCGAAACTCTGGGTACCAGCACAAATGAAGTACTGTGTGCAGGAACTTGGATCAGCATAGAAACCACTGACTTTTCCAGTACAATCAAAGCGACTAGTCGATCCGATGTGATGAGTAGTTTTGACAGATGAAGTAGTAGCTAAGAAAATATTATTTAAATTTTCTATTTATTGATAGAAAAAGAAACGCAGTCTGTCTTCGTAAAGGCCCTTTCACAATTGGCGCACGAGCACTTTACATATCTTTGCAATCGGAAAATTTTAGATTCGCACGAGCTCTCGCATACGTTGCACGATGTCTCATATTCGTTGCATGTGTTTTAGTGGTCGCATCATATCTTCAACTGACGAGCTTCGGAAACGGGTGGTATATATGTATATAAACTCGGCCCTCTGACTCGCACGAACTTTCGTACCATGGAATGCAAAACGCACGAAGGCCGCATGTCCAATCGCATTGGCGCACATTCAATCGTCCGAATACTTGATCAATCACGCGATCCTATCCCATTATCTTACAACACTCGCTTTCATTCTACAACAGTCACATATAGACGCAATATACATCGCAAGATTTAATGCACAACAGTCGCTTTAGATAGTGCAAATACTTTACATCTGCGATTATTTGGGCAAAAATTTACGATCCTAATCAAAATTATTCGGTCGCACGAATATTTTGTCGCTTCTGCTCGTGCGCCAATTGTGAAAGGACCTTAGATTTATTTAAGGTTTTGTTAGAAAACTAAATAACGACTTAATATATAACGATGCATGTCCCACAGCTATGACCAGTACTTCATTTTAATTATATACCTCTGAATAGGAGGTTTTATCATTTAAAAAAAAATTACACACTTTAAATAAGATTGAAAAAAGAATGGAAAAGAAATAATGAATTATGAATGAATAAAATTTCCATAAAAAGTAAAGATTTTTAAATACTATTTTTATCTGAGAGTGATATGAAATGAAAATGAAGAAATGGGTAAGGTGTGAGTAAAGCCAAAAAAATAAAAACAAATACACAAGGTGCAATCATTTTCAGATACCATAACATCTAACACTTGTCTGAAGGATATTTTTGATTCATTTTCGAAATAAAGATGAAGCATTGATGTTTATTTTCAAAATTATTAGTATATTTTTTAATTTAATAATTACCTGTATTTATTTTTTATAAATTCCTATGCAAAAAGCAATAAGAAACTTTTTTGTAGTTTCAAAATGTGAGAATCTCTGCTATGAATCAAAAAAATTCTTATTCTTCCCACCAGGTCTTTGCAAGTTTTATAAAATGTTGTTCATGATGCACAGATTACAGAGGGTTACTGGGATGTTCCGTTTGATTGTGCAATTGTCATATTGTAAATTTGAACTTCACGGGTGGCAGTAAATACAAAATTTACAACATGATAATGCCAAACGGGAATTTAAAAATTCACAATATGACACTTGTTTTTGTTGTTAATTTATGTTGTATATATAATTTGTTTTTCTTTGCATGAAAACTTGCCAAGTGCAACTTTGACCTTGGGTGTTCTGGTAGTGATTATAGAAATATTATTTCAAATGTTGGAAACCTTTTGAACAACATTTTAACCGCTAAATATCTTTGCAGATATTGCAAAATGTGTTTCATGTTATTTCAACAATCTTTCCTTTTTCACTATTTAATGCAAACGCCTCAAGTTTCATGTAACAACGGTGGCTTAGCATTGAGATGGCGACGAAACAGGTCCAAAGTACAAATAAAGGGAACAATAGTATTTGTTTTTCTTAGTTACTTTTTACAAACCACAACAATCATTTAAACTATGATCGAACGAATGCGCTGCACATTCTACAGGAGGTTATACAAGTGTATCAAGACAACTTTGTACAAATTTCTACAAATCTATGATAAATAATTAGTTAACCAATCACCATTTTCACATGATGACCTTTACTCTGTGATACTTACTAGTGCTTGGAGCCTTGGTTGGGTGGTTATTGACGTGAGTGGTCTGATGCTGTGCTGGCTGCGTGGTTTTGACAGGCGCCATTGTTGGAGCAGCAGTTGTAGGGGCATTGGTCAATCTTAATTAAAAATATAAATTCTAAACGAATGAAATATGGAGAAAACAAACAGCATTTAAGTTCAAAAATCCATCGCAACGATTCTGATAAAATAGAAGCAGAGCAATCACGGATCAACTGTGTACCGAACAACTTATTTCTATGGCACGCCAAATTCACAAAAATGAGATAAACCTAGTTTCACATTTGATAAACTAGGTTTATCGACTGTAAACTATAGTTTACAAACCGTAAACTATAGTTGACGATTCGTTAAGTATAGTTAACGATTCGTTAAGTATAGTTTTCATCTGTAAAGCTATATTTAACGGTTGTTAACTATAGTTTATGAATGCTAATCTAAGTTTATCTGTCTGTAATGAAACGTTAACAATAGATTTTATTGATAAACATAGATTCACGTTTGTAAACTATAGTTTACAATCGTAAACTATAGTTAAGAGTTGTTAATCATAGTTTCACAAATCGTGAAACTATATTTATCAGATCGTTAACTATAGTTAACGGTTTGTAAACTATAGTTTACAAATCGTGAAACTGTATTTATCAGATAATCTATGTTTTGCAATCGCAAATGATTGTTTTCAGTGTTAAGTATAGTTTACGGTTGTGAAACATAGATTATCGCGTTAACTATGGTTTACGGATGTAAAATATAGATTAACGTTGTTAACTATAGTTTACAATCCGTAAACTATAGTTTACAACCGATAAACCTAGTTTATCGACTGTGAAACTATGTTAAGCTCATTTTTGTGAATTTGGCGTTCCATATATTTCAATTTCGTACGCCATCATTTGATTATAAATACAAACCTAGCTAAGTATATCACTTTCCTTGAATAAAAATAAATCAAACTAAATTTACATCTTTAAAACGGGTGTGATTTCAGTTGTGTAATTTACGACATTTCCTACCTTTGTTTGGTAACCAAAATGAATAGATTTCCAACTTCCTTCTAAACTGACGCAAATTATTCAGTTTTTGTTTATTACCTTAACATTTTTGAATTTGGGATAAAAAATGGTTATAAAAGACAAAAACTCGTTATTGTTTATATGCCAGAAACCTCAAAAAGCCTAACCATGTACGTAAATTTCTTACATTGTTCCTTTTTCGTACAAAAAGTACCTTACAAGAGAAGCATTTAAAATATGATACTTACTGTTGAGGTCCAGCCTTCAATTCATCATTGATAGCATGGAGAAGAGGATATTTTCCATTTCCACAACTTCCGCTAAAATCATCGAGATCCAAAGCCCAAACCATGATACCACCGACACCTTTACTTTTGACAAAGTCAACCTAAATAAAAACCGTTATAAGAACTTTAAATTAAGACATATGTAATTTTTTTGTACATTTGTATGATACTGGAGTAGTTTTTTTTACAATATTAACTTTCTACCTTCTTTTTCAAGCTTTCTGGGTCATCGTAGCCAATCCATTGATCACCTTTGACGACGTAAGGTACCTCCATTTCAGGAATCCAATGGCGTGTACCTCCACTCTTCAGCATCTCACAGATCTACGGAGAAATGTTATCAGCAAAGGGATCATAAACTGAAAATCATAAACCAGAAGAATTATCTCTAGTTCTAACCTCGTAGTAAGCCAGGAATCCGGCCTCCCTGGTGTATCTTCCAGCCTGTCCGCCATTGCCTCTGTCGGGAGCAAACAGACCATTGTTGCTGGAACTGGCCAGTGTGAAGGAACGTCCATAGAGAGGTAAACCTACGTTCAACTTCTCGGCTGGAGCTCCCTTCTGTAGCCAGTAGTTTACAGCCCATTCCTGATAATGTATGTACTGGTGTGTAAGTATATTTATACTAAAATGTAACATTGAAAAAGCAAAAATTTATTTATTTGGCGTATTAAAAAACATAAACGTGCTATTTTAATATCTTTTAAAATGCTCATTGCTCCTTACTTTGAAACTCCATTCAACTGTTTATTAGTTATGTTTAAAAAAATAATAGTGCTTTTTTAGCTTCTAGAGTGTTTTGTAAACTCACGACATTGAGATATGTTTCATTTCCGGTTTCCCGGGGATGAGCTTTGAGAGGGGCGTTGTGATTGGTTTTATCCTCCCAGCCACCTCCGTGTAAATCGTACGTCATCAGATTTATCTCATCCACATACCTTCAAATTCAGAATTAATCGAGCAAATTAGAAAAACGTTACATTACACGAAAATTAAAATTGTTGTATGTCGATGCAATTGAATCGCTGTTGATGTTAAAAATTCTAGACTTTGATATTTCTTGGCAATGTTCATACACAGCAAAAGAAATAAGTAGGATATCTTTTTGATTCAATATTTCATCTGTACATACATAATTTATGTACATGTAAAATGTATCTTTAAATGAAGAAAACCCCTCAAAATATATGTTTTAATAAACTAATGTGACATTTTCTCTGACGAAAATACAATTTCTTAAATTCACTAGCAATTTGAATGAAATCTATGAGTAACTTTGTACTTAGAAACTGCAGGGACGTCATATCCGGTGTCGATGTTACTCTTTCCAGCAGGCACAGCGCATGTCAGCATTAACCCCTCGGGTGACAGTGTTTCGTGAAGGATCTGTGATGAAAACGATATAACATACTTGAACACTCATAAAAAGGTGAATTCCGTCACTCTATTTATTCGTATTTTTAAATGCATAAATAATTGAAGAAAAAAAAGACTCCATCATAGGTGAATAAGTTTTTATTTACTTTATAGCAATACATCATTGGTAAGGAAAATATATCTATTCAAATATATATAAATTCACATGATAATTTTCTGTGTATTTTTGTAGATTTGATTATTGAACCTATTATATTACAAAAATAAAGATAACGGATCTAATTTATTTAAAAAATAAAATTTATTGACCTTCATTAACTCGACATAGTTTTGTTTGTCTTGTGGGGGACTTCCTCTGTTTGCGGGGTATTCCCAATCTATATCGAGACCATCAAAGCCGTGCTTCTTAAGGAATTGGACAGAAGAGGTGGCGAAGTCTCTTCTACCCGCAGCAGTGGCCACCATTCTTGTAAAAGGAGCGGATCCCATGTTCCATCCTCCCACGGCCAGCAGAGTTTTTACAGAGGGATTCTGCTGTTTCATTTTGTTGAAGCGCTCATACCTATCATAATATTTTTTATATATCTGATTTATTATTTAAGGACAGATGATACAAACAAAAAATGGATGCCTGGATTGGTAAATATTTTTTGACCTAATTTCATTGCAAATGATGCAAATAATAAATTTCTAGAATATAAAGAAATTGTAAACCTTCTGTGATGTTCAAAAGTCTGCCCTTCTAAAACCATCTTTATTCATCTATACAAATATTTTTTTACTTTAAATTCCATTTTTGTGCGAATTTTTTTTTTTTTTTTTTTTTTTTTTTTTGTATTTTATTTATTTATTTTCAATTCTTCATATAAACAAACAGTGAAATATATATATAACAGACAAATTACATTACAAACAATATGACAATATTACCTTCAGACAATTTTATGCAAAATTTTTAAAAAGTTTGTAGTCAAGTGATTTCAAATTTTTTAGAATGGAAGCATAGAAAAAAATTGAAGATTTAACGTGATTAAAGATGTTATAACTAGTTTCATCTAAGGAATGTATTCGATAGTACATCTTATATTTGTAAATCCTACAGGCAACATATGAGATGAGCGTGTTGAGTGATACAATTTTTCTATTGCGCTCAGAGCTAAATCCAATTATTACATGTTTCCATTTGATATCTATCTTCAGGTACAAACTTAATCTATTCCATATTTCACCAACATTTTTACATTCAAAAATGAGATGTTTTGAAGTTTCAATCACGTGGCATAATTTGCAATTACTACTCGTTTCTTTTTTCCATTTACTGAGATACAAGTTATTACAAAGAATATTGTTTAAAAGTTTATAGTTGAATTCTGTAAGTTGTTTATCGGGTATGTCATATAATTTACATTGATATATATTTTTCCATTCTGAAGGTTCGACACTGAATTCGTTGCTTAAAACTATTTGATAACATGGTTTACAAAATTTTCTGTGTACAAGATTGTCATAAAAAAAGTTACATCTTTTATCTATGATGTTAACCTGTCCTGTGTAGAAAAGAAAATAATTTTTGTATCTTATATTAACAAACTTACAATTTGAAAAATCATACTTTAGTAGCAAAGGTTTGAAAACAGAAGAAAGAATTTTAAATTCACACAACCAGTTTGACTTGTTTTTTATACAATTAGAAAAATCTAACAATGATTTAAAATTACCATCATCGTCAAATAAGTCTTTAACATGCAAAATCCCACTGGCTATCCAGTTTTTAAAAAATAATGTATTTCCCCTATAAACAAAGTTACAATTGTTCCATATCGGCTGTCGAAGAACATTATCGGAAGACATTTTGTTCAAAAAACAGGGCTTACATTCATTAAAGCAACATAACATTTGTTGATAAAACTTAGGTAGTTTCTCTAATTTTTCCATATTTTCTACTCTTCTATCAGAAAAATCTAACACATAGAGAACTTCAAAATTTGATTTTTTACAATAACCATCAAAAATTTTGTACAAAATACCTTTGCTTTTTAACAATCTAGGTACCCAAGCTGCTTTTAATGCTTTTAATTTACATTCAATATCAACGATTGAGAGTCCACCTTTTAAAATTCTTATAAGCGTGTTTCTTTTAATTCGTTCATTTTTATCCCAAATAAAGTTATAAATTAAACGTTGTATTTTTTTAATGTAAGTATTATCAGGGAGACTTAGTATTGAGGCAACGTATGTAAGTTTAGATATAGCAAGTGTCTTAACTATACATGATTTACCAAATAGCGTTAGTTTTCTTCTTTTCCAAGATTCAAAAAGTTTTTCAATATCGTGATAAATTTTCATCCAGTTTTTAGTGTAACATTCTTCCTTATCATGCCCTATGAATATTCCCAAACATCTTACTGCTTTATTCGTAATTTTTATACCGTAGAGTTCATCATATAAATTTCTTAGTTCCCCTAATAAAATGCATTCTGTCTTATGCATGTTTACTTTTGAACCCGCATGTTCACAGAATTCTTGTAATTTATCGAGAGTTCGCTTCATTGATATTTCGTCTTTTAAAGCTTAAAGATTTTTGTGCGAATTTGAATAAAAAATTAAAAACTACGCGGTGAAAGTTATTCAATTTATTCATTTAAGCATGACCCAAGTTGTTATTTTCAAATTCTTTGACAAAAGTTTGTTTGTATCATCTGTCCTTAAGAGATCAAAAGTTATTACAAATTAAAAAATGTTTTCTTTTACAGTGGAGGAGGATAAAAAAAATTGTGGGAAATTTGGCAATAAAGAAAAATATTTTTTCGTACATTCCCTTCATCCATGGGGTGCTCTCATCGTTCCACTCAAATGGCGCCAAATGGTTTCCGTTCATTTTGGCAAATGCATAGATGACATGTGTACAGAGGGAGGGATCGACATTCTCGGGGTAGAATTTGGCGGGTCCACTTCTGTATTGGGCCCAGTTGGTATAATAACAAACACGTCGATATCCCGCGGCTGCAAACAAGCATAATAAAATATAGTGCATTCAGTCTTGGCTATCATAATAAAACAAACAAACAAACATAAATAAATATATAAATAAATAAATAAAGAAAGAAATAAATAAATAAAAACTAATGAAAATAGAAATCGATAATTATTTTAATGAGTTACCAAAAGTGAATGCCAGGGCAAGCAACGGTATAAGGGTTTTTAACATCTGAAAAATATTAGCTGTTATTAGTATATTTTTTAATTTTTCTTCATTTTATTCAAATTAAAGCTGGTAAACATGCAAATACAATATTGACAAAGCACAATAAACCGAACAAAAAAAAAATTAAAAACACAAGCAAACTAAACAGAGCTGAATGAAATATTTAAAATAAAAGATAAAATAAAACGGGTAAAAATAATGATTATATTTATGATCTAAGAAACAGAGCAAAAAAGGTCAAACAAACAAACAAACAAATGAATAAAAAAGCCTACAACAACAAACAAATAAAATTAAGAAGATGATAATAATAAAATGTTATTTGTCAATCACATTTTAAAAAAAACCAGTGTCACTAAATGATTAGATTGTGTTACCTTTGGCCGCTATAATATGAAGTAAGATTTGGATATGTCTCTGAACTAGTTATACGTCTTGGTATAATACAGAGTTAATCTATTAACTGTCGAACAACTCAAAAGTTTCCTGTGGCCCTGATAACAGCCCTTACTATCTGAGACTAATGTTAAGATGCCATCTCTGCTATTTGTCTGCGAATTAGAGATGTGACCAGTCTATTTCTCGTTATTTACATTACGATTACGTATGGGAAATATTTCGATGTCCTTATTTGAAATCTTGTGTTTATAAATTACATTTGAGATCTCAAGTTCCACTTAGGGTCCTTAAATCTAGAGGAAGATTGAAATATTTTATATTCAGGAATAAACTTGTCAATCATATATGGCTATTCGTTTCTTGATTTAATATGGAAGTTTTTTTAAGTGACATTATCAAGGTTTAATCTCTTCTTTTGAAAAAAAATTGCAAGATATAAAATGATCTAAAAATGAAGATTTATATCAAAATAAATATCATTCATTTTTATGATTTAGGCATGTCTTTAATGTATTTTACAATTAAAAAGCAAAACAATCATTCCTTGCAGTGGTAACAAAATCTCAAATATTTAGGATAAATTTAAAATGTTATCAAGTACGAGTCATAAGATCTACATTAATGCGGTAAACTTTATCATTAAGCTGCGATTTGCCATTTAGTAGTCGGTAAGTGAAGTGCCCAAAGGTTCCTTTACTTATCGTAACTGAGTGGGAGTCGATCCATTATTTTGTCACTGCTTTATGTAATTTTCATTAAAATCCAAAACAGAGCATTGAAAAATCTAACAGCGTTAAATATTTAAGTAGATGACCAACATCTGTCTCGTGAACTTTAACCTCTTATTTTATATCGTTGTAACATTGTTAATGCACTAAATAAAAAAGTCCGTGAACTCCGCATACGAAGTAACATGAAAAGTTGTATGTATTGCAGGATTCTCAAAAAGGGATAGTATCTTTCACAAAATACCGGTATATAGAATGTTCTAGATGTAGGCATGAACAATTTCTATAAGGAGGTAAATTATTGACAAACAAGATGCTGAAACAAGGATACTAGTAGTGTCGTTTAAAATTATTATTTCGTCAGTTCTATGGTCCATACAATGAGCTTGTCAGCAAATACATAATTTATCATTAAGTCAAATGCTGACGAACGATTTTCATACTGATTGTTAGGCCATTATAAACAGACTGAATTATCGACAGAATGTTCCTTTATTTCCCGATCATGGTAAGGAGCACACGGTGGTTGTGACCAGTCGACAGGGGATGCTCACTTCTTGAACTTTTGAACTTGAATACTGTTCGTTATCTCCATAAATTTAATCTTATAAAGAAGTTTTTGGATAACCTCTTCTTCATAGCAATATTAAATCAGTGCTTCATAGATTTATCTACAGTTTTTGGAAAGACCTTGTTTCCGAAGAATGCATAATTTTTGTGGATGAAGAACTCTTGCATTTCTTTACAATCATCAGAATAGCTTTATGCAGAATCTGAGTGTTTTCAAACAGTGTAATTTTATTGAAGAAAAATCACAAAATTTCAAAAATATCTGAGTTCCAATTTATATAAGAAACGGTTACCATGTTTAAATTTCAACAATATGATTTTTTCCCAAAGGAAAATTCTCTCTTTTTATTCAAGGCAAAAATCTTGCAAAAAGATTAATATAGCCGTTATTGAATGTATTTAAACAACATGTAAGCCTTAAATTTATTAAATATTATTGTTGCTTCATCAGTTTGTTAATTTTTATTCGCGTTTTAAAAATATTAACATTGCAACAAAATGTAAGAGATAGGGACTAAAATGCCTTCAAGTGTAACCCATGGTTGTCTGTTCAGAAAAACAGACATTGGTGAAGCAAAACAGGTTTGCAAGGAAATCAAGAAAAATGTAATTATCTTAGCATTATAAATATTATAGAATCTATCTCGACCATATGCGAATAAGATGCTTTTATCTTGGCAGCGCAATATTTTTTGGCGCAGTTATCTCTCCTTGTTTCGGCACGAGTTATCTAACTTTCAATTATATAAAGAAAGGTGCTCGTGCTGCAAACCCTCTCTTTGCCGGTTACACGCTAGTTGCAAGGTTGGTGTTAATCAAATTTGAGAAAACAATGGCTAAGTGTAGATTTTAATCCCCCAATTGTACATTGTTGAATAGATACTGCTGGTTTTTGTTTTTTTCTTTTCAGTGGAAAATTTTACAAAGCAAATAGTCATCTGTACCTACATATTCGGCATGGCTGTCACTTATGAAGATGGAATGCGAACTGACATTTCTGAGTTTTACAAAGCAAGTGGCCATTGATACCTACGTATTCAGCATGGCTGTTACTCCTGAAGATGGACTGCGAAGTGAGTTTTACAAAGCAAGTGGTCATATGTACCTACATGTTCGGAACGACTCTCACTTCTGAAGATGGACTGCGAACTGAGTTTCACATAGCAACTGGTCACCTGTACCTACATATTCGGCACGGCTGTCACTTCTGAAGATGGACTACAAACTGAGCCGCATACATCACTTGAACTATGATGTAATATGGGTTCATTATTGGACCGCTGCACCAACAGGGTCAAAGTTGAATACCATGTAAATATTGTGACAGTGTAAACAAAACTGTTTATTTTCTTCCTTGACTTCTGCACCTCCCAGAGTCATTGATGTGTCAATATTATTGTTGCACTGCAAGTTTTTATTATTTGACCTTGACCTCGGCATCTCCAGGGGTCAATGTCACCTGATATGTTGATGTTGTACTGAAATGTTGTTGACCTTGACCTCTGCATCTCCCAGGGTCAAGGTCACCTGATATGTTGATGTTGAACTTAAATGATGTTGTTGTTGAACTGAAATGTTGTTGTTGTTGCTGGGCCTACCCGTTGCTTTGGAGGCCCGAAATAAAATGTTGTTATATTAATCAGCCCTCCCCAAAAGCGCCAAATGATTAAAAAACCCATAAAAAATTTGTCTTTGATTTTTTGCTTCTGTCCAAGATAAATACTTTCAATTACCTTAGGACCATTTAGATATATCGTGAAATAGAAAATTATAATGTGTTTGTTAAGATATTATGAGTATATCTCCACTCGTAAAATATTTCTTCATTCCCCTTCATTCCCCTTTCTTTTTCTTCAACTCTTTCAAACTTTGTTATTTCAATTATTATGTTAAAACAGCCTCAAAAAGATTATAAAGTACATCCCTCCAAATTGACTTCTTGGAAAAAGAGAAATTTTGAAGCAATCTTCAAAAAAACTCCATAAAAGTCCAACCTAACCTTTTCATTCGTCATTTACAAAATTATTTTGTAACAAGAATTCTGATTGTACACACAAGTATTCTAAAGTTGATATTAAAAAGATGCTTGAATTTCTTATAGAATATATAAGGTTTTTGGAGACCAGGTCTTTCAACAATCTGTTGGAAATCCCATTAGTACTAATTGCGACCCGTTATTTACAGACCTCTTTTGTATTCACACGAAGCAGAACTTGTTCAAAATCGTATACGTGAAAAGATGAAAAGAGGCTGTGATCTTCAACTACTCAAAATTTAAATAATTTACAATCGTTATTTCCATTCACATGTCTATTCATAAAAAATACCAAAGAGTGTAACACATATGTTTCATATTTGGATATTATACAAGAGAAGAGTTAATGGTAATCTAACAACAAGACTTTATGATAAACGTGATGACTTCAACTTTTCAATCGTCAATCGTACATCCTTTTCTCGCATAATCACTGGTGTGAGATTGACTTGTCCGGTGTGAGACAGCAGTGTGAGATTTTTTGTCTCACACTGTGTATTACTACGCCGCGAACTATAACGTAAACATTCCTTCTTCATATAAGAAATTGTAACAATGTTTAAAAATATCACATAAACTTAAAATGTTGTTATTCAACTTATTGAAATAAACTTATTTTCATTCAAAATATCGTCGTATTTTCACTTTTTAAAAGGCACTATTTTTTTGCGGAAGGATTCTTCTGAAATGAATTTGTACGCTATCGGGTAGATATGTTTTTATTCCCAGTTTTTATCTATGAAATTAATTTATATGGACTGAAATTCATTTTATTAGTTTACACTCCGTGTAAATCATTTTCAGATACGCTTTTTCCGAAAATGTATACAGATTTTTAATTAGATGGAAAATTAAAAGAATATATTTTTAGCCTTATGGCGACGTCATTGACAGGCCGTTATTTTGGAAGAAATAATGCGAGAAAAATAATTCTTCATTACATACTCGTGTCGAATATAGTGAAATTCCACCTCGGGGCCAAGATTCACGGTCTACGACTCGGCAACGCCTCGTCCTAGACTGTGAATCTGGTCCCCTCGGTGGAATTTCACTATTCCACACTCGTAGTAATGAATGATTCTATTAGTCACCTGCGTACGGCGTCATATCTCTTAGTTTAGTCTATACGCTAAAACACATATGAACAATATCTAAAATGAGGCAAGCTTCTGACAAACAACTTGATGAAACAAGAGTATCAACAGTTTCATTTAAAATCATCATGTCGTAAGTTCTATGGTCGATACAATGACCTTGTCAGCAAAGACAGTCTATCATTAAGTCA